AAAAAAAAAGAACTCCAATTCCACCAGTGCATGTCTGTCACTTCCTGGGCCAAGGACAAAGACAATCATTTTGATTTGCATTTATTTGCTAGACAGCACAGGTGTTACAACCCACTGACATGCGGACTACAGAGCAAAGTGCACAGCATTCTCTTATCTCCTGCTCAAGAGGAAGTTTCACCAACGTGATTTAGATCCAGGCTCTTCCACTGGCAGCCTTTGGGCCACAAGAAGCCCATGCCCACGTTAATCACAAGAAGTTAATTTGTGGCCTCTGGGCTCCTACCCAGCCACTGCTTTCCCCATCATGCCAGCAACAGTCAGGGTCTCCAGGTTCACTCTTCCTCCTCCAGCTTCTGCTTCTGGGTGGGGTAGCATGGTGTGGCGCTGAGGAAGCCCATGGCCCAGGATGCCCACACAGCATGGCTGGGGAGCTAAGGGTGGGGGCCTGGACACCCATGTGGTATTGTGCAGTATGGGGTGCCCTTACAGTGTGCAGCCAGAGTGACCCATGGCTTGCACTGATGCAGCTCACCCTGGCATGCAGCCCCCAGCCATATAAAATTAGACAACACTGAATCGGATTGTGTTAATTTGAAGTAAGAGCCAAATCTAGAAGTTCAGTCTCTGTGATGACAGCTCTGGACTGTCCTATCATATACCATGCAGCAACAGCTGGTGAAATACAAGGGATGACACACCACGAGGTAAACCACACCACATCCTCAGAATTACCAACTGCTGGCCTATTAATCACGGTTTTATTCAGGATACTTTATTTAACTGTCTTATGGAGATTACTTATGAATGACAGCAGCTGCAGCAGTAGCACTGCTGCAGCCCTGACAGTCCAGAAAACATACCAGAAGCACAGGCTTTTTGTGACATCTTTTTTCCGACAAACTGTAGAGTTGGGAGAGATGCTAGACAAGCTTTGGGGGCACAAAGGGCCCTTCTTCAGGCCTGGGGTATAGTTATAGTAGTCAACTTAAAGACCTGGTAACACAGGCTTCAGTCTTGAACTGGATCTAGGTGAGCTTCCCCATCACCAGCAATAGATCTTGCTGAAACATGGAGCCATTTATAACTGGGGCTGTCCCGGGGGGGGTGGAAATCGGGGCCACCCTGGGCCCCGTGTTTGGGGGGCCCTGCAAAGCCAGGTGGAGTGGCGGAGTGACTCCGTGCTGCCATCACATCTGGCCGCTCAGCACCCTACAGCTAAATCCACTCCCAAATCTGGCACATCCAGCTGCCTGCACCCCCCCTCCCCCACCAAATCTGCCGAATCCACTACCGATTCTGGTATGTCTGGCTGCTCACCACCCCCACAAATCCACTGCCAGCTTCCTTGCGTCCAGGGGCAGTACCCCACACAGGCTGATTTGCCTTGGGCCCCACACTCTGCTCGGGTGGTCCCTGTTTATAATGATATTATTATAATAATATAAACAATATACAATAATAATATTTCTGCAACAACGCAATTCTGGCACTTCCCAGCAAAAACTGCCACGGGGGTCTGAGTGATGGCCCTGCCACCCTGTCAGGCCGGGCTTTTCCCCCGGCGGAGCAGACCCAGCAGCCCTGGCCTGAAGCCGGGGAGCGCCCGGGTTCCTCCCGCGTAGAGGGGAGCAGGAGCCGGCCCTTCCTGCCACACTCGAGACTGGGAGGCCCCGTTCGCGCCCTGCTCCTGCCCGGGGAGGCCTGGGCCGAGGGAGGAAGTGGGCGCCGCCCGCACAGCCCGGAGCAAGGGCGGCAGCGGTGGGCCGGGGCCAGCACCCACCTCCTCGGCATCCTTGCCCAGGGGGATGCCCATGGCGCTGAGGCCGGTCTGGAGCTCCGCGATGTCCACCCTGCCGTCCGCATTGGCGTCCAGCTTCTTGAACAGCTTCTCGTAGCGGCTCTCACCGCCGCCGCCGCTGCCGCCGCCTTCTTGGCAGGCGGCTGCGGGGAGCACCGCGCCGCGGAGGAGCCGCAGCATGGCTAGACCACGGGTGCGGGACGCGGGCGAGGGAGACGGGGAGAGCGCGGCTGTAGCGGTGGGCCGGGGCGTGTCCTGCCGCGCCTTGCCTCGACCCTCCTAGTCTCCCGGCCGCGCGGGGGCGGCCGAGCGTTGTGCAGCCGTGAGGCGCGGCTGGGCCGGCCGGGCTCTTCCAGCCGCTGGGGAGGGACATGGGCGGTGCTCGCCCGGGAGACCTGGGACGCGGCGGCGCTCTTTCCCTAACGGCGCCCTGCGGCTGGCGAAGGCGGGCTTGAATCCCGGCTAAGAAACCTGATTGCAAGAGGTGGTTCTTCCTTTTGTAATCAAAAACCTCCGTAATGCATCGCAGGGCTCCGCATTTGCAGCTCCAGGTCTGATGGGTGGGGTGGATGGCAATGCTACATAACCCCTGCTTCAGCGGGACAGCAAGGAGTTAGAATCGCGGACTTTTACAGGAAATGAAGGCTGGAAGGGGCCTCAGGAGGTCGTCTAGAGACCAGCCCCATCCAGCAACACAGAATCAGAAAGGGGTCTTGGCATCATAGTTGACTCAAAGATGAACATGAGTGACTGGTGCCTAGTGGCAACATATAGGCGATGCACAGGGGTGCATGTGCACCCCCTGAGAACGCCAGTGCACCCCGTGACAGCCCACACTCCCCTCTTAGGCAACTGGCAGGGGGGAGTACCAGTGCCCCCCTCTGCAAGCACCGGCTAGGGCTTGGGTGTGCCAGGTGAAGCACCGCTGGCACTTCCAGGAGCACCGCAGCCACTTTCCAGTCAGCATGATCAGCTGCAGGGGAACCCAGAGATTGGGGCACTGGATCATCGACTGGGGGGGGGCCCCACGGCCAGTCCGCAACTGGGGGAGTCCCCCTGTGGCTGATATCAGATGGGGTGGGGGTTCCCCTCAGCAAGGGATCACCGAGGGCAGAACCAGCAGCAGAGAAACCGGAAGTGCACTTCTGCCAGCACTTAACGGTTTCGTGGCTGGCGCTTCCAGGAGGTGAACATGCGTCGCCAGTGTGACAAAGTGACCAGTAGAGCTAACCGCACTCTATCATGCATTAACAGGTACATCATGAACAGGTCTAAGGAGGTGATACTTCCCCTCTATGTAGCACTGGTAAGGCCACAGCTGGAGTACTGTGTCCACTTTTGGGCGCCGCACTTCAAGAGGGATGTGAATAACCTTGAGAGGGTCCAGAGGAGGGCCACTCACATGGTTAGGGGCCTGCAGGATAGGTCCTATGAGGAGAGGTTGAGGCACCTGGATCTCTTCAGGCTCTGTGAGAGAAAGCTGAGAGGGGATCTGGTGGCCATCTACAAATTTGTCTGTGGGGGCAGCAAGAAACTCTGTTTACCAAGGCACCCCTTGGAGTAACTAGAAACAATGGCCACAAACTGACAGAGAGCAGATTTAGACTGGGCATAAGGAAGAACTTCTTTACAGTAAGGGTTACTAGAACCTGGAATGGGCTTCCAAGTGAGGTGGTGCTCCCCGCTACCTTGGAGGTCTTTAAGAAGAGACTGGACATACACCTGGCTGGGGTCATCTGACCCCAGCACTTTTTCCTGCCCAGGGCAAGGGGTTGGACTCAATGATCTACTGAGGTCCCTTCCGACCCTGAAAATCTATTAAATCTATCAAATCAAAGCAGGATCATCCCCAGCTAGATCATCCCAGCCAGGGATGACAATTCCATCACCTCTCTGGGTAACCCATTCCAGTGCTTCGCTGCCCTCCTTGTGAAAGATTTTCCTAATATCCAACCTAAACCTCCCTTGCTGCAAATTGAGAGCATTGCTCTTTGTTCTGTCATCTGTCACCACCAAAAACAGTCTAGCTCTAGTTAGCAGACCTGCCGCAGAAGCTGGAAGGGTCTTCAAACAGGAGGCAAGCCTTTAGCTAGTTTTAACATAGAGCTTGATTAAATGCATATTGCAATAGCAAGGAGCTGGACTGGCAATTTAGGAGCCCAGTGAATGTTGGATCAGATCTTGAGATACTAATCCAGAGTCATCTGGAATGTTGTCTCTTTTGAGAAGTATAATTTACTAGACGAACAGAGACAGAAGTCAGAGCGGATCCAAAAGCAATGATGCACAATAAGCTCTGTAGGCTCACAAAATTATGCTAACAGGTTGGTGGAGGAGGCTTTTTTTTTAAATCTACTTCCACTGCATGAAAAGTACATTAAACATGATTTTTTTCTTTTGGTCACCAAGACCCAAAAGCTGTGAACACTTATGCAAATGTGGACTTTCAAATGCAACTGACTGGTTAGAGTCAATCATGTAAGTAAGTGTTTGCACAATAGAGAACTTGGTTAGGTGTGATTGCAGTGGTGTACGCTAAAGCAGGCGTGGGCAAAATACGGCCTGAGGGCTAGATCCAGCCTGCCAACTGATTGTATCCAGCCCACGTGTCGGTGGCTGTAAATTCATGGGTTCTGGCCCATGGGGATCCAGTGGCTTCAGCTGCTGCATTGTTCTGGGTAGGCAGGCATGTCCCAGCCCCATCCACAGCTTACACCAGCTCCCATCCTGCATGCAGGAAGCAGTGCCAGGTGCACGTCAGCATCAGCTGTGGATACTGTTGGCAGGTTCCTGCTGGGGATTTGGCATTTGCCCAAGCCCCTTCTAGCGATAAAAGGACAGCCTGGAGGTGAGACTGGTGGCAGCTGGGGCCCTGACTGAGCTGCCCTTGCTGAAGCTACCGTCTGTGCCCACAGCACCTCTCCAGCTGCCTGTGGCTCCATCCCACATAGGTAGGTTTGGTCAGCTATTGCATGGGGGGGGACCAGTGACACCTCCCCAAAACTCCCTTAGTGGCCCGCAGGCCCAAACAATTGCCTGCCCCTGCACTAAAACTACCCCTATAGAAATTAAATAAGTACTTAAGGAAGTAGCATTTTCTTCCTACTTTTGTCACACTTCTATCAATTAGAGTAAAGAATCGCTAAAAATAGTAATTTCCCACAAGTAATATGTTACTGTTTTGTGACAGGAAAAAAGCCCTACCCTTATAGTCTTTTCTATGTGGGAGGGAAAGGAGCAACAGGGTAGTAAGGTTCCAGGAACCATCCTACCTGCTTGCCTGTAGGCAGTATCCTTAGCAATGCTCCTTGCTCTTGTCTCAGAAGGGAGTCATGCATACAGATATATGGCCCCACACTGACTGCCAAGTGCAGCATCTGTATAGAGCACTCAGGTATCTCTCCGTGTTATCAAAACAGCAGTCTCTGCTAACTTTGCAACTATAGAGCACCAATAATTGTGTTAGCCCTGTACTCTTAGAAGTCTGTCTGACAGCTGCATCTGTGTCTTAAAATTCCTGTATCTGCTTACACCAGCACCAATGAATAGGGACCTACCAAAATTGTGATTTTGCGTTTTTCAAGGAAACTGTGAAATCAGGCATTTGCCACAAAAAAATGGTGGGCTCTGCAGTTTTGGCAGTCTTGCTGCGACCCTTCCCCCCCCCCCAAAAAAAAAAAAACAAAAAAAAAAAAAAAAAAAAAAAAAA